TTAAGAAGTAAAAGTTTTGAATGGGAGGGCTCAAATTGACTCTTATATGAAATATCTGTGACTTTTGTGATTACCTGGATCAGAACTCTGGTTTTCCTTTGATGAAAAACTGGCACTCATATGACCTTATGCAGTTGCGTGCGCCGTAACACCTCTCTGTCTGCCTCTGCCTCTCTTTCCATCTAACTTACCTGTTGTTACAATATTTTCCAATGCTTCTTTCTGCATTGTGTGTCCAATGAAATATGCCTGTCACTTTCATATATTCGTCATAGGCTGTCGTCTGCAATTTGCTTCAACCAAGACTTCTTCATTTGTTTTTCTAGCTGTCCATGGGATAGGCAGCATGCGTCTTATGAACCACAACTCTGTCGCCTCTATTGGTTGTCCATGCTTAGCACCCTTATAATAGGATTGGCTCGACGTAACTTTTCAGTACTCTTTTTCTTGTTTCCACTGACAGATTGATGTTTGTAAGTATCTGTTTCATTTTGTGGAAGGTTGCTTTTGCTAGGCAAATGCTGCTTTTAATTTCGGTGTGACATCTCACACTCACATCTGATGATATAATGGTCCCAAAGATTTGAATATTTTCTTCTTCTCCTTCTTCTTCTCCTCCTCCTCCTCCTCCTCCTCCTCCTCCTCCTCCTCCTCCTCCTCCTCCTCCTTCTTCTTCTTCTTCTTCTTCTCCTCCTCCTCCTCCTCCTCCTCCTCCTCCTCCTCCTTCTTCTTGTTATTATTATTGTTATTGTCATTTCTTTTATTATTTTGATTATGACTTTCCTTTTTGAAAGTGTGCAGACTTTTGTGTAAGAGAATATTCTGATGGAGAGAACATTTTTTTAGGCAGCCTGGAGCCTGGCAGGGTATAAGTGTTGTCTGATGCGGAGTTTGCATGAGGAATCTGTCTCTGAAAATATTCACATAGATATTTGTCGTGGAATGGAAAGGATATGTTAGATACCTTAATACTTTCCACCCATGTAGCGCGCAGAGCACACAACACTTGTCCCCACGGACCAAGATACAGATGCAGTACATTAGTACTACACCTGTATCTCGGCAAGAATATCCCAACCATTATTATAATTTCAGCATACTGAAAAAATTAAAAGTGGTAATCGCGTGTTCACCAAATAAGGAATTAGAATCAGAACTGAAAACATTATATCTAGCCCATTCATCACCCGAATTCTAAACATGGCGTAAGAGTAAAACACCACTCATGCTATGTCTACTCGACATTTTTCCCAAAAATTTACTACAATTGTTGTGTACAAACTGATTTTTGGTCCCAAAGGCCTCAAAAACCATTCAGAAAAGAAATTTAACTTTCACAAATGTGCATGTCAAAAAACGAGATCATTGCTACAACGTTTTTTGGTGCTATATCACATCGTCGCCGATCGGCGCCCCTTAAAGTATTATTGGAAACTATCCTATTTTATGAGAAATTTGGTGGACAGGAGTTTGTGAGGTCATAGGAACAATTTTGTCTGTGTTATTCTCTGCACATGTGAGTCCTTCAGCGGAATCTTTCGGCAGACACCAAAAATGATGTTCCCCTCACTCAGATGCTATGCATTTTAGTTTTGATGGCTTGATTGAAATGCTAATTGTATTTGTCTTCACATCATGATTTTCATGTGCATAATGGGGAATTCTCTTCAAATTTTAGTAGAAAAAGTAACGAACTCAAAAATGTTCTGACTTAAGTTTACAGTAGTACACAGTCTGAGTTGCCATAAGCAAAGAATGTCTTGTTTTCTTTTTTCTTCCGCCTGTTTCTCTCAGGGTTTCCTCTATTGTCTACCTATAGATCTATACGTAATGACCTTTTTCCTACTAGAATGTAGTGTCTATTGCCTGTGGCTAGTGGTTGGAGGGTGCCACTTGTAGCTCCTACTTCTTTTTTTTTCCTTCTTTTGTTTCTGTCTGTCTGCTTTACTTTTTCCTGCAATTAATCACCATTATTGTGTCGATGCGCTTCTCTTTAGTCTTTACCTTTTAAGCAGCGATATAATGTTTGAAAGTACATGTACATGTATTGTGTACATGATGTGCTTTTTTTATTGTTACCGGTCAATTTGTTCGTTTCTGGGTAGGGTTAAATTAAAACTGGTACCCCAGGATCAAGTGTGGGAAAGATCAAGGGATAGTCCTTGACTTTGCCTATACAATGCAGATATTAAGCCAATCACTTTGACGCGAGGCTCAAATCCTTACCTCTATCCTTGCCTCCCACCCTCCCCTCCCATGACGGATTTGTTTTCCCTCCCTTCATGGCCTTGTAATAGACTTGATTTCTATTTGTACTGATTTGTACTGTCAACTTCCTTGTCGGGATTATTTTACGAGAGTAAAGAATCGACTCCCATATTGTCCTTCTGTGTGGAAGAGTCGGTCACTGTTATGAACGAATGACTGGATGTTTGACAGTGGATAAAGTGGATAAGGTACTATTCTTTACTTTTGCATGTATTACTTTGTTCCTTTTCAT